CCAGGGTGGTACTACCGTCCTGTGGTAATAGGTTGGTAGACAGCAACCACCCAGGGAGGTACTACCGTCCTGTGGTAGTAGGTTGGTAGACAGTAACCACCCAGGGGGGTACTACCGTCCTGTGGTAGTAGGTTTGTAGACAGCAACCACCCAGGGGGTACTACCGTCCTGTGGTAGTAGGTTGGTAGACAGTAACCACCCAGGGAGGTACTACCGTCCTGTGGTAGTAGGTTGGTAGACAGTAACCACCCAGGGAGGTACTACCCTCCTGTGGTAGTAGGTTGGTAGACAGCAACCACCCAGGGGGGTACTACCGTCCTGTGGTAGTAGGTTGGTAGACAGCAACCACCCAGGGAGGTACTACCGTCCTGTGGTAGTAGGTTGGTAGACAGTAACCACCCAGGGAGGTACTACCGTCCTGTGGTAGTTGGTTGGTAGACAGTAACCACCCAGTGAGGTACTACCCTCCTGTGGTAGTAGGTTGGTAGACAGCAACCACCCAGGGGGTACTACCGTCCTGTGGTAGTAGGTTGGTAGACAGTAACCACCCAGGGAGGTACTACCGTCCTGTGGTAGTAGGTTGGTAGACAGTAACCACCCAGGGAGGTACTACCCTCCTGTGGTAGTAGGTTGCTAGACAGCAACCACCCAGGGAGGTACTACCGTCCTGTGGTAGGAGGTTGGTAGACAGCAACCACCCAGGAGGTACTACCGTCCTGTGGTAGTAGGTTGGTAGACAGCAACCACCCAGGGAGGTACTACCGTTTTGTGGTAGCAGGATGGTAGACAGCAACCACCCAGGGAGGTACTACCGTCCTGTGGTAGGAGGTTGGTAGACAGCAACCACCAGGGAGTTACTACCATCCTGCGGTAGTAGTTTGGTAGACAGCACCCCCAGGGAGGTACTACCATCCTGTGGTAGTAGGTTGGTAGACAGCAACCACCCAGGGAGGTACTACCGTCCTGTGGTAGTAGGTTGGTAGACAGCAACCACCCAGGGAGGTACTACCGTCCTGTGGTAGTAGGTTGGTAGACAGCAACCACCCAGGGAGGTACTACCGTCCTGTGGTAGTAGGTGGTAGACAACAACCACCCAGGGAGGTACTACCGTCCTGTGGTAGTATGTGGGTAGACAGCAACCACCCAGGGAGGTACTACCGTCCTGTGGTAGTAGGTTGGTAGACAGCAACCACCCAGGGAGGTACTACCGTCCTGTGGTAGTAGGTTGGTAGGCAGCAACCATCCAGGGAGGTACTACCGTCTTGTGGTAGTAGGTTGGTAGACAGCAACCACACAGGGAGGTACTACCATCCTGTGGTAGTAGGTTGCTAGACAGCAACACTCAGGAGGTACTACCGTCCTGTGTAGTAGGTTGGTAGACAGCAACCACCCAGGGAGGTACTACCGTCCTGTGGTAGTCAGGTTGGTAGACAAGCAACACCCGCACGCCTGGTAGGTTACTACACGTCCTGTGGTAGTAGGTTGGTAGACAGCAACTACCCAGGGAGGACTACCGTCCTGTGGTAGTAGGTTGGTAGACAGCAACCACCCAGGAGGTACTACCGTCCTGTGGTAGTAGGTTGGTAGACACAAGCCACCCAGGGAGGTACTACCGTCTGTGGTAGCAGGTTGGTAGACAGCAACCACCCAGGGAGGTACTACCGTCCTGTGGTAGTAGGTTGGTAGACAGCAACCACCCAGGGAGGTACTACCGTCCTGTGGTAGTAGGTTGGTAGACAGCAACCACCCAGGGAGGTACTACCGTCCTGTGGTAGTAGGTTGGTAGACAGCAACCACCCAGGGAGGTATTACCGTCCTGTGGTAGTAGGTTGGTAGACAGCAACTACCCAGGGAGGTACTACCGTCCGTGAAGTATAGGTTGGTAGACAGCAACCACCCAGGAGGTACTACCGTCCTGTGGTAGTAGGTTGGTAGACAGCAACCACCCAGGGAGGTACTACTGTCCTGTGGTAGTAGGTTGGCAGACATCAACCACCCAGGGAGGTACTACCGTCCTGTGGTAGTAGGTTGGTAGACAGCAACCACCCAGGGAGGAACTACCGTCCTGTGGTAGTAGGTTGGTAGACAGCAACCACCCAGGGAGGTACTACCGTCCTGTGGTAGTAGGTTGGTAGACCAACCACCCAGGCAGGTACTACCGTCCTGTGTGTAGTAGGTTGGTAGACAGCAACCACCAGGAGAGGTACTAACCGTCCTGTGGTAGTAGGTTGGTAACAGCAACCACCCAGGAGGTACTACCGTTCCTGTGGTAGTAGGTTGGTAGACAGCACACCCAGGGAGGTACTACCGTCCTGTGGTAGTAGGTTGGTAGACAGCAACCACCCAGGGAGGTACTTCAATCCTGTGGTAGTAGGTTGGTAGATAGCAACCACCCTGGGAGGTACTATCATCCTGTGGAAGTAGGTTGGTCGACAGCAACCACCCAGGGAGATACTACCGTCCTGTGGTAGTAGGTTGGTAGACAGCAACCACCCAGGGAGGTACTACCGTCCTGTGGTAGTAGGTTGGTAGACAGCAACCACCCAGGGAGGTACTACCGTCCTGTGGTAGTAGGTTGGTAGACAGCAACCACCCAGGGAGATACTACCGTCCTGTGGTAGTAGGTTGGTAGACAGCAACCACCCAGGGAGGTACTACCGTCCTGTGGTACTAAGTTGGTAGACGGCAGCCGCCCAGTCAGGTACTACCGTCCTGTGGTAGTAGGTTGGTAGACAGCAACCACTCAGGGAGGTACTACCGTCCTGTGGTAGTAGGTTGGTAAACAGCAACCACCCATGGAGGTACTACCGTCCTGTGGTAGTAGTTGGTAGACAGGAGCCAACCCAGGAGGTACTACCTTCCTGTGGTAGTAGGTTGGTAGACAGCACCACTCAGGGAGGTACTACCGTCTGTGGTAGTAGGTTGGTAAACAGCAACCACCCATGGAGGTACTACCGTCCTGTGGTAGTAGTTTGGTAGACAGGAGCCACCCAGGGAGGTACTACCGTCCTGTGGTAGTAGGTTGGTAGACAGCAACCACCCAGGGAGGTACTACCATCCTGTGGTAGTAGGTTGGTAGATAGAAGCCACCCAGGGTGGAACTACCATCCTGTGGTAGTAGGTTGGTAGACAGCTGCCACCCAGGGAGGTACTACCGTCTTGTGGTAGTAGGTTGGTAGACAGCAACCACCCAGGAAGGTACTACCGTCCTGTGGTATTAGGTTGGTAGACAGCAGCCACCATGGGAGGTACAACCGTCCTGTGGTAGTAGGCAGGTAGACAGCAACCACCGAGGGATGTACAACCGTCCTGTGGTAGTAGGTTGTTAGACAGCAACTACCCAGGGAGGTACTACCGTCCTGTGGTAGTAGGCTGGTAGACAGCAACCACAAAAGGATGGTACTACCTTCCTGTGGTAGTAGGTTGGTAGACAGCAGCCACCTCGGGAAGTACTACCGTCCTGTGGTAGTAGGTTGGTAGACAGCAACCACCCAGGGTGGTACAACCGTCCTGTGGCAGTAGGCTGGTAGACAGCAACCACCCAGGGAGGTACTACCGTCCTGTAGTAGTAGGCTGGTAGACAGCAGCCACCCAGGGAGGTACTACCGTCCTGTAGTAGTAGGTTGGTAGAGAGTAGCCACCCAGGGAGGTACTACGTCTGTTGTATAGGTGGTTTCTGCAAACCACCCATTTGAGGTACTACGTTCTGTAGTATTAAGTTGGCAGCAGCTAACCACACATGGAGGTACTAATCCGTCGTGTTGTAGTAGGCAGTAGACAGCAACCACCCACTGAAGGTACTTACCGTCCTTTGTGTAGGCTGGTAACAGCAGCTACAGGGAGATACTACCGTTCCTGTGGTAAGTAGGTTGTAGAACAGCAACCACCAGGGAGTACTCTGCTTTGGTAGAAGGTTGGTAGACAGCAGTCCACCCAGGGAGTACTACCGTCCTTTGGTAGTAGTTTGGTAGACAGCAACCACCCAGGGAGTACTACCGTCCTATGGTAGTAGGTGGTAAACAGCAACACCCAGGGAGGTACTACCGTCCTTTGTAGTAGGTTTGGTAAAGGTCAGACACCACCTAGGGAGTCACCGTCACTGGTGGATAGTAGTGTGTGGAAGACATGAACCACCCAGGGAGGTACTACCGTACCTGCCAAGTTAGTGTAATAACTGAAAACCTGTATTAGTTTACATGATGCTAGGTTGTTGGTGTCATATTTTTCTGTCTCAAAAACATGCAAGATTTCAGGTAGTCTTGTACTTCTACTTACACTTGTCACACTACTACAACATGTACAAGCCATGCAATATCCAGTCAGTAAACAGATGATTTCAGAATATTGCAAAACAACCACTCTAAAGAAAAGAAAATTCCAAACGCTTTTGTGATACTCAATTATCAAGGGAAATATCATAGTTCCTTGATAATGTGAGTAGTCAGAAACCGCTTGGAATTTTTCTATTCTTTTAGAGTGGTTGTTTTGCATGTTTAAAAAATATATATACCACCCCTTGGGGTTTCTTCTATTTTCTTTTAGTTCTTGTTCTTGTTTATTTTCTATCTCCCCGGGGAATGGGGAAAAGAATTTTTTCCCCCGTGAGCCATGCGTGTTGTAAGAGGCACTAAAATGCCCAGACAAGGGGCTAGTAACCCCCCTTTTCTTTTTTTAATTACTAAATTTAAAAAAGGGGCACTTTTGTTTTTCCTTTTGGGGGGCACCCCACCTCGGTGGGATATGCCGTGTGTTGAAAGAATTTAATTACATGTTTTTTTCAGGGCAGTAATAGGGGTTTCTTTTATATAACAATTTGTTTTAAAAATATATGATAAACGTTTCTAATTTAAAATTTCAGTAGCGATAAGTTTTGACAAAATAAGGCCATATGACGTATTTGTAATGTCAGTGCAGAAAAATAATGAGAGAACAGTAGATACAAATTTAAAACATTTAGGTTAATGTGTATTTTGCCTTAAAGCAGCTGTCTTATACCGTAGGTCAGTATTCTTCATGTTCGTGCTGTCTGGTGTACTGTGGATGGCGGTGGTGGCGGCATTATTGGTGGGCGTACATGCTCATGCCTTTATATGTCGACCACTGTACGAGGAGCCTCACTTCCCTACCCTCACCCACCTGCTGGATCACTCTGGCATGGTCTATCCTGATGTTCCCATCCTCAGCAACGTCCTCCATCCCGGCCGTAATGTTCACCTCAGCATCGGTCACGTCCTCAGGTGGGAACTTAAATGTATTTGTATGTCCTGCTGCCTTGGGGGCTCTAATTTTAATATATATAATTTTCATGAAATATGTTACAACATATATAAATGTTTTAGAAAAGTAAAATATGTTAGTAGCAACAGGTAGACAATATTTTCGTCTTATAGATAAAATGACGCAAGTGCAATTAATGTGACATTTTTCTCCGGCAATTTATCAATATTATTACAATATAACAGTCAACTAGGCTCGTATGTGGTCAAACTGGTGCAGCTCGTGAACGCTGCTCTTAGCTCGTGGTGCGCCCTCTGCGTCTTTCTGCTCCTCTCTGTTATTTTTAATTCAACTGGTCGTAGCTGGGACTTTTTTAAACGCATAGGAGACAAATCATTTTATATTATATAGATCAGGCAAACCTCTTTACAAGTCATTTCATCACAGTCTTTGCCTCTCCTATGCCTTAAATACAAAAGCACCCGCTGGGACTTTGGTTATTTCTGGCCGCCTCCCTGAATACTTTGTACAAGCCTACTTACTCTCACGAAGCATTGGGCTCAGCAATTTCTTGTTGTCAGGCACAGTTTAATTTAATCCTCTATTCTTTTCTGTTACATCTCGCACAAAATATTCTTTATTCTACACTGGAGTTCTTTAACAACGGCTAGGCGTCATGAACACATTTCCTGCCAGTGGAAACATGCATCACTGCTACCTTCTCAAAAGCTGAGCAAGGACGCCTCTGTTCCCTCATCATACTGTTCCATTTGTTTTAATCAAGTCTAGGGAAAGTTTTAGAGCGCCTAGTCACAGACAAACTTCGTTGGTGGATGGAATCAAACGTCCTTCTCTTCGAGTCTCATTTTGGCTTCTAACAAGGTCGAAGCCCTGTAGATGCTATTAATACAACGAGACCATCAAGTTTCCAGTGCATATGCTGGACATGAAATCATCCTGGTTTCATTGACTGAGTTGCAAAACGCAGAGTCTGGCTTATCTTGGACACACAAGGTAACCCCTGAGTTGGTTTTCAGATTATCTTGGAGGAGGTTAATTTGCTGTCTACTTGGGGAATGTAGCTTCGAATATGTTATGGTGATCTTTGACTCCCTCTTTATTTCTCATTTTACTTCTTCTTGCTTCTCTAATAGTGGGACAACTCTTTCTTATATGCGGCAATCTTTAACGTGTTGTGGAATATTTCATTAAATGGTTACATACTTGGGTCCTGACTGTTAGTTGCAAAATATAGACTAAGGTGCTTTACTGGGAAACGCCTCTGAACATTATTCATACCTACAGGTGATTAATATTTCCCATCTGGCATTTCTCACAAATGGTTTGGAATGGTGCCAGATGGTCCTAATATAATATGGGCAAAGCATATTGACTGCTTGAAAAAATCTTGTACAAAACGCCTGGACATTGTGCACATGGTATTCGGATTGTGGGGGACAGATCGCTCTCTATTTCTCACTGTAAAGGTCCTAATAATCATAATTCATCAAGCTTGAATATAGTAACTTAGTATATGGCTCTGTGATGCTCTATGTATAGCATAAAGAGTTTCCTTCCTCTCCAGTTGTAACCTTGGGACTGGAGTCTAGCATTTATCCACTCCATTATTAACACACTACAGACGTCTTACCACGTTACCTCCTGCTCACCTTCTGCAGAGTGCACTGATAACATGGAGCGTCCCGCAGTTCTTGTGAAGATCCCACCCTACGCCGTTTTTGACTCGGGCACAGATTTCATTTGTTGCATCGGCGCTTTCAGGTCTTGATCACCATCCTTTAAGATTGTATTCCAAAATTCATACCTGGGTAAACATCTCTGACCACATCTGAGTAGCTGTTATTTTCCTTACTAAACCTTTATTGTTTTCAATTACTGCTCCTATTATTTTTGAGGAGTTTAGACAGTGACACAATCCACCTGCATATAAATGCAGTTGGATAAAGAATTAACTCATCCCCACAATCTACCTCAGCTGCTGTATATTTTTCTGAACTATCTCAGCGCCAAGGCTCGAGGCTGATGACACATTCTTTCAGACAAGCTTTTTGCCATATACTTGTCACTCTTTTTTATGGAAGTGTCCCTTTCACCGCAAATCCTTCTTAGCTCTTCTCTCCACTAAAAGGTCTGAATCTCATTATGCCCCTTTACGAGACATTTCCACTCTTGCTGTTTTACATTTCAACGCCAGGTTGTTTTTTTTAATTTTGTTATTCCATAATGGATTCGTTATGCTGGTATCAGAGGAAATGACAGTTGTCAGGGCTGCAAATATTGCTCGAAATTGAAAATTTGATGTTGGATGTAAATTAAATGGTAGTGGTGATAGGACGGGGATGTCATCAACACTGGATGTCAGACTCAGCACCAGCCCTCAGATGCATTCAGCTGGGACTCATTCGTGATTCTGATGAACACAGTCCCTAGTCTCGTGCTGCAGATCGTCTCCTTGATGTTGCCATGGTGCTTTCTCTACGTATTGAACATACCTGGCTGGCGGCACATCTCTCCCGGTTACTTTGGTGAACAGCCTGAGCTGTCCATGGTGCCCCATGCACGATGATACTCTTGCTGTCCAGGGCTTCACTTTGCCCGTACCAAACTCCAATATTTATTTAAACAAACGAGTTTCTACATCAGTTCCAGACTTTCTCAACGGTTACGGTTTTGATCCAGACATTCGTGCCCATACGTGCTGCGTATTCCTTTCTCCGTGCCACGGGCGTTTTTTTTTTTTTTTTTTTTTTTTTTACACATGGTTTGACAAGGTTATTGACAAGCTATTTACAGGTTAAGGATTCCTAACTTTATTGGCAAGCTAAGAGCTGTTACCTACATCAGCTCATTTGAAAGCATTTTTATTGTTATGAGACATACAAGTAGGGAACAGGATGAAATTGGAGCCATCTGTGGGCCAGCATTTTCATTTGATCAACTGACTTTATCTCGTTGACATCATTATGCTGTACGAATGTGTTCCATACACGAGTCATCCTGGGTATATATGATCTCAGATGGAGTGATGTTCTGGAGAAGGGTACTGCCAGAGTGAAGTTGCTGCTTTCTGCCCGTCTTGTGGCATAAAAGCTTGTTTCACGCTGTCCTCGAAGTGGATCCAAGTGTGGTACTTTGACAATATTGGCCTTGTACATAACAGTAAGGCCACCCACATCCCTCCTATGTTGAAGGCTCTGCTGAAATGACAGATCTATCCAAGATGGGTCCAGGCGAGAGATGAGACGTCTTGCTCTGTTCTCTACTCTGTCAAGCAGTCGCAGATAAGAGGGGGGGGCAGGCAAACCAAGAAAGTGGAGCATACTCAAGGTGTGAGCGTACTTGTGCCTCGTACAGAATCTTGCAACCCCTACTGTCAAGCAGATGCGAGATACGGTGAAGTGCTGTAAGCTTCCTGGTTGCCTTGTTTGCAAGATTTACAAATGGTTCTTCATGGTTAGTTTGGAGTCAAATTTCACCCCAAGGATATCAACTTCTTCTCCAGGTGCCAACACCCTCCCATTCATCCTTACTACTGCACCAGCATTACCATCATGGTTCCTAGAGACGATCATCATTTGCTTTTTCTCAGGTGCAAATGTTACTTGCCATCTATTTCCCCAAGCTGATATAGCTCTCAGCTGGTGATTGATGTAGCTTAGAGCAGCTGGCATTTCTTCTCTTGGATAAGTGAATGTCAGTGTACAGTCGTCTGCATATGCATGTGATTCTGGGATGAGATGAAGAAGGTCGTTGAAGTAGACATTCCATAACAATGGTCCCAGCACGCTTCCTTGTGGAACACTTGCCCCAATAGGATGTCTTGCTGATTCCGTTCCATTGAGAACTACACTTAGAGATCTACCATAAAGGTAATCACTGAGGAGACATAGCGTAGAGCCTGCAATTCCCAGTGCTTGAAGTTTTGCTAAGAGATTTAGACACTACCTAATTACTAAGCGAGCGTTTAAACACCAGACTTCTGGGACGAGGCTCGTAGTGCATCAGCAGTCGTAATCCTTAAAAAACAACACATTTTTCTTCCTTGCTGTAGCAATGTTTTGTTCATACGAGGATTGCTTAAGCTCAGTGTAGCCATTTAATTTTTATAATCCCTTCTATATATAAAGTTCTTTTATGATTGCCAAAACTGTTGACAATCTATCACGGTAATGAAGAGTCACGAAGAGGATAAGAGAGGTGACAAATCAGGATTCTATTGAGACGAAGAGTATTATTACAATGTCTTGCAAGACATGAATAGGCTGCTGGTCTCATTTGTACACAAATATAAGGATAATATAAAGCGTTAAATTCTTGGATCATTATGAATCGTGTCTCAAGGGAGTCAAATGAAAAATTTGAAAGGAATAAACAAATATTTATTTTGATGACTATATATATGCAGGATAAGCCATCATGAAGCCTAATTGTAATAGACGTTTTAGAAACTGTAAATATTAGGCTAAGTCGTGACAACTGGGCAAACATACGACCAGTCTGTCATGGGTCCAGAAGCTTATGCGACGGAAACAAAGACACAAATGCGATCCTTTATTGACAACATTTCGCCCACACAGTGGACCTTATCAAGTCACAAACAAATCTAAGCAGAGTACATGAGTATATGTATAGGGAGCATAGTGATTTGAAGGGTCAGATGAGGAATGTAGAATTTGTTTGTTGAGAAGAGGTCGGATCTGAGAAGGACCTGGCCGGCATAGGCCAGCAGCCTGTTGCTATGTACGATGATGATGACGAAGTTTTCCGGCAAGAGTTCAAATATATTGTAAAAGCCGTGTTTTGGTTAAAATTATTGGATATACAGATGAGTGATGATTTCAAGATCCTGGCGATGAATCTTGCGTCTCTGTGGTTGTGAGAATTTTGGCTTAAGGCACAGGCATTCCTCAAGTCGTCCTCATTGTGTTGGCGTATTGGTGGTATGAAATACATGCTTGGAGGTCTCTGGAGATTTTGTCTATGTATAATTGGCTGCAGTCATTGGAAGGGATTATGTTTAACCCTGTAGAGGATTGAACCTTAGGGCGTCCCTTACCTGTGATGTCTTTGATGGTAGTGAATGTGGACGTAGATACTTGGAAACTGGTAATGGAAAAGATGACGGAGACGTATTTGGCAATGGAGTTGGAGGGAGGACTATGTAGTTCGTCTGGGCGGTATCATGTCTGGGTGAGTTGAAGATGCTATATGCCCGGCGTCTGCTGTCTCGGATAAAGTGATGAGGATAGTAAATATCAGAAAATACTTGTTCAATTAAAGAGAATTCTTCCTTAAGGAATTGACACTGCAGATTTGGAGGTCACGGAAGAAAAAGCCTATGATTACGCCACATTTACTTTTGATGGCGTAGTGAGAGTAGAAATGGAGAAGATCGTGTTGGATGCTAAGGAAAGGAAGAGTGTCGTCGACTTCTAATGTAAAGTGGATTGAAGACTGTATCTGGTTGAGCTTGTGTTGAAGAGCAGGAACGTTGAAGCGTCTGTGAGTCAAGAATATCGTCAACATAACGGAGCAGGTGACCGTAGAGGGAATAATAGAGGAAAATTGCTCGAGTTCTAGATGTTCCATGTAAAGGTCCGCCAGTACAGCACTAAGTGGGGAACCGTTGGGCAGTCTAAAAGTATAATGAAAAAGATAATTTTCAAAAGAGAAACATGGGAAACCAACACAGTTCAACAAGGTCGTTGAAATCGCTGGCTGGAACATGAAAGAGGGTGCTAGCGAAATCATTTTTTTGGTCCAATTTCAATGAAATTTTTACAGTGATTTAAGCAGCATTTGAAGACTACACTCTGTGGTTGTAGTGACTTTTTGCCTTAAACGATAGAAGAAAATAAATAGCGCCTTATTCTCCCTTTTCTATAAAATTGGTAAGACGTATAATGTTGTAGTTGATATGAGATGAAAGATACTAATCCCGTTTGAGCGAAAATGTCAATAGATTGCATAATAAAAAATGTTGAAATTGTTATTTTTCAAGAATTTTTGGGAGAAAAAAATAATAAAAGCAAAGCGGTTAAAATATCGCAAATCCCCTGTGCATGCTAGTAGAACCATCATTACTCAATAACCTGGGCAAAAATTATGACGCTCCTATAAATACTTTTCGCCAAAAATGGAAAATAATGTCAATAACTTATTCCTGAGTATACATATTATTACGTTTTCTGTAAAACTCTAGGGTGATGACGCGCCACATTTCAGTATGTTTGCTCGACTGAATTTGAATGGAGTCTCAGAGAAGTTGTAATGTAGTGTATTTAGAATAAAACAAACATAATCGTAATTTTTGGAGGGAAAAAACATGAATTGGCATCATGTCTTTTGGGAAAACTTAGAAATATGATAGAAACGAGTTGATTACATCAGCATGTTGCCAGAATTATGCACTATTTTTCAGGAAGAAAACATTATTTTCCATAATTTTTCAATTTTCCCTTTTATCACTCCTAAAAAATCGCACCCTTGTGAAGGTCGAAGGAGTCTGTCAATTTTCCAGCCCAGGAGATCAATGGCTTGTCTTATGGGTATCTTGGGATCCTTCACGTCACTTATGCCTCCCATATTGCAGTTGTGTCTTTGTTTCCATAAGCTTCTCGACCCATGCCAGGCGGGTCGTATGTCTACCCAATTACTGTCACAACCCAGCCTAATATTTAGTCTCTAAAACGTCTGTTACAGTTAGGCTTCATGATGGCTTGTCCTGCATATATACAGTCATCTAAATATTATATGTTTATACCTTTTAAATTTTTCATTTGACTCCCTTAAAACACAACCTAAAATGACCCGAAAATCCAACGCTTTATATCCTCCTAATATTTGTGTACAAATGAGACCAGCAACCTATCATTCATGTCTTGCAAGACAATATAATAACAACACTCACGTAGTTTCCCCAGGTAGACCTGATAAAGTCCATTGTGTGGGCAAAACGTCGTCAATAAAGGATCACATTATACTGGATATAGGTTTATTTTCCATCCTGTCGGTATTTTGTACTCTTATTATTCTTATTAACGTGTATTATTTACATATATATATATACTGTCGTATCCGAGCGAATGATGGTGAAAGCATTTCTTTATTGGGTCACCCTGCCTGGGTGGGAGACGGCCGTCGTGCTGGCATAATGCCCGGTATATAAAATAAAAAGATGGGATGGTAGGGGAGGTGGAATATTAAAAAAACGGCTTCAGAAAGAAATCCAAATATTTTTCCTTGAACCCTCTTTATCCATTTCTCCGAGGCTGTGGGTCCCACAATTTGCACTAGAGGTGGACATATTTAATATATATATATATTATATATATATATAATATATATCATATATATATAATATAATATATATATATATATATATAATATATATATATTACTATATATATATATATATATATTAATATATATATATATATGTCGTGCCGATAGGCAGAACTTGCGATCTTGGCTTAAATAGCAACGCTCATCTTGCCATATTGGACAAGTGAAAATTTGTGTATGCAATAATTTCGCCAAAATCATTCTGAACCTAACGAAAAAAAATATATTTGATTGTGTTTTTTAGTACTAAATTATTGTAAACGCATTTTAAAATATATTTTGTTGGTTTAGGCTAAAAATAAATTGCTCTTTTTATAGTAAGGTTAGGTAAGTTTTCTAAGATTCTTTTGGTGCAAAATAAAATTTTTACATTAACATTAATGAAAAAAATGTATCTTTAAACGTAATAAGAAAATTTTTTAGAAAGAACTTAATTTTAAATGAGTTTTTGCTAATTGACCAGTTTTACATATTCGGCACGACATATATATATACATATATATATATATATATGTATATATTATATATATATATATATATATATATATATATATATATATATATATATATATATATATATATATATATAATATATAATATAATATATATCAGGTAAAATATAAAACTAACAAATCCACACAAGGCAATAAATTAAGATTATATACACAATAACGTGTGTATATTTTAGTGTATATACACACACCTAGACATACACTCTGTGTATATACATTAAGAGTTTACCTTAATCCCTAAAATAAAGAAATGCTCTGCATATTAAGGGGCTTTCTGCATGTACACCTAAATTTTACTCATCTCTTTAGAACCTGTATAAACCCGTAGGGATTATACAGCTCCTGTGGGGGGGATGGAACGGATTCAGGTTCAGTTCAGGAAACTGGAGCACAGATCCAATTCCCTAGATCAAGAGCCCCAGCGTCAAGGAACCTCCCTTGAGTGACGGACGACCATTGTAATATGCAGCCTTAATGACCCTTTTTTGTAGTCGATAGTCTTTAAACCCAATTAGCCAACCTAAGAATAAACATTATTATGATTATTATTTTTACAAGATAATCGCTAAATTCGTATGGGTCATTTAGCACTAATAATATAACAGATTATTTTATTCTTAAACGTGCTTCAAACCTAGAGGGGGATAAGCCAGCAGATGTTAGCCTAGCTGGGATAAGCCAGCAGATGTTAGCCTAGCTGGGATAAGCCAGCAGATGTTAGCCTAGCTGGGATAAGCCAGCAGATGTTAGCCCAGCTGGGATAAGCCAGCAGATGTTAGCCTAGCTAGGATAAGCCAGCAGATATTACCTAGCTGGGATAAGCCAGCAGATGTTAGCCTAGCTGGATAAGCCAGCAGATGTTAGCCTAGCTGGATAAGCCAGCAGATGTTAGCCTAGCTGGGATAAGCCAGCAGATGTTAGCCCAGCTGGGATAAGCCAGCAGATGTTAGCCTAGCTAGGATAAGCCAGCAGATGTTAGCCTAGCTGGGATAAGCCAGAGATGTTAGCCTAGCTGGATAAGCCAGCAATATTAGCCTACTGGATAAGCCAGCAGATGTTAGCCTAGCGGATAAGCCAGCAGATGTTAGCCTAGCTGGGATAAGCCAGCAGATGTTAGCCTAGCTGGGATAAGCCAGCAGATGTTAGCCAAGCTGGGATAAGCCAGTAGACTTTAAACCTAATTGAATAACTCAGTGGATGTTTAATCTAGATAAGCTAGTAGATGTTAACTTAGCTATGATAAGCCAAGAGTTTTTAACCTAGCTGGGATAAACTAGCAGATGTTTAACCTAGCTGGGATAAGCTAGTAGTTATTTAAATATCTAACTGATCATGAGGTAGACAGACAGATGAGACGTGGCACTAATCTTGTTCTTTGAGCTGCCACCATCACAGAGCATTATATAGCCTTAACTCTCAAAGACTGAACCGGTAAGTCAGTGGAAGACCTCGGTCAGGCGACCAAAAACTCCAGTGGTGGGTCATCATATGACTAAGACCCGCGTCAGGAAACATTTGACCAATTTCCTGACGAACTTTAGCTAACCTAACGTGTGCTGAAGATGGCTTTAGTGTGATGACGAAATATGCAATACTGATCTGTTGCATTGCCTCTGTGTGGGTTTGTCTCATTACCCAGTGCTTAGTATACTCATGTTTATAAATGTCGTACCACGCAAAGTGGGGACTTTATCACCCTCAGTGGTGCTTTACCACCCAGTGGTGCTTTATCACCCACAGTGGTGCTTTATTAACCAGTTATGTTTTACCACCCACAGTGGGCTCTTGGTACCTCATAAATCCCACTGTTGGTGAAAAAAATAAAATCAAAGTTTTGTCTCCAGTGTTAGACTAATATTTTAGAAATTCGACACTTAGATGAATGAGCCACATGTGTAACACTCGGGTATCTTTATTTTGGAGACAGATACACAAGTGCTTCCTATGTCTTAATCATCACTCCATTGTGTACGTAGCAAGCAGTAAATAGTGTTGATGTATGTGTGTGTGTTGAGTGGGTGTAAGGAAGGGCGGGCGGCGTACCAGGTGTTCCAGCTTCGTCACTACTTCGATGTTGAGCGTGAAGTGGACCACCTCACCACCCTCGATCTCCGCCACACCCTGGCTGCCTTCAGCGTCAACCTCTCCCAGATGGAGTTCCTCTCACCCGAGGCCGAGGCTCATCTCAACGACTTTCTCCGCTCCATTAAGATGGACCTGGAGCCTTACAGGAGAGAGGTGAGTGTCAGAGTCCAGCACGGAATGATTGTAACTGTATTCCAGGGGAATTTCTAAACCGGTTGGGGCATTCAGCTTTGATCTAAAAAGAAGGCAGAGTACCTACTAAACACACCGTGATGGCTTCTTCTCTGAAAGACCAGTATCGTATTAGTGTATTGTGATGGCTTCTTTCCTGAAGAACCAGGCTGAGGGACTGATTACCTAAAACTCCTCATCTTCCACTGTTCTTCTCTGTACTGGACTGAAGAAGCCAGTGGTTGGAGAACTTTTCAACAATAAATATTCACAAGTGTGGCACAAGTGGCTAAAAGAATAATCAGAGGAGGAGTTAGCGCAGGTGGCAGTGTGTCTGTTGTGCTCCGCTGACCATATCAACCTTCACTTTGTGCTGACAGAAGAGGTACTGTGACATGACTGTGTTACTGTACGACAAGAGTTAGTTCTGAGAGTAGTGTACAGTGTGACCTGTGATAACAATGGAACTTGTTACCCTCTTGTGGCCTCATTAATTACTAGGTTATAAATATCTTGATATTTAAATATACTGGTACAGTGTCTGGTGCGCCTCATAGTGATGGATGCACGAAAGTATATATACTGATGTCTGCTGAAAGGGGCATAAGTTGCAAGACGTAATATAGACTATACCTCTTACATTCTGTTTTAATTTCCGTGTGTGTGTGTTAGCACTGTACCAGTGTCTCATTCAACAGCCTGGTTGTTCAGAGACTGGGCTGCGAGAAGTGGCCGGGGAGTCAAATGACTCGCAGGCCCACAGTCACATTCATAAGAACATAAGAAAGAAGCAACACTGCAGCAGGCCTACTGGCCCATGCAAGGCAGGTCCAAGTCACCTTCCGGCTTAAACCAATGACCCACCTAGTCAGGTCAGATCACATCCATTTAACGAGCATGGCATTAGACCTGTTAGCACAAGCTAGTCAGGTCCAACTCCCACCCACACCAACTCATGTATTTATCTAACCTATTTTTAGAATTACGCAACGTCTTATCTTCTATGACGGTACTCGGGAGTTTGTTCCACTCATCCACAACTCTATTACCAAACCAGTGCTTTCCTATATCCTTCCTGAATCTGAATTTTTCTAACTTAAAACCATTGCTTCGAGTCCTGTCTTGGCTAGATATTTTTACCACACTATTCACATTCCCTTTATTTATTCCTTTTTTTCATTTATACACCTCAATCATATCTCTCCTAATTCTACACCTTTCTAGAGAGTGCAGATTCAGGGCTCTCAGTCTATCCTCATATGGAAGATTTCTGATACATGGGATCATCTTTGTCATCCTCCTCTGTACGTTTTCCAGAGCATTTATATCTATTCTGTAATACGGTGACCAGAACTGAGCAGCATAGTCTAAATGAGGTCTAACCAAGGATATATAGAGTTGAAGAACAACCTGAGGACTTCTAGTATTTATGCTTCTTGATATGCAGCCAAGGATTCTGTTAGCTTTATTGCGAATATTTATGTACTGTTGTCTTGGTTTTAGATTACTTCTAACCAAAACTCCCAAATCCTTTTTGCAATCAGCAATATTAAGATTACGTTTTTTAGTTTATATGTGGCATGGTTATTTTCTTGTCCAGTGTTTAGAACTTTGCATTTGTCTATATTAAACTGCATCTGTCACTTCTCCGACCACTGCATCAGTCTATTCAAATCATCCTGGAGTGCTCTAATGTCCTCATTTGAATGAATTAGGCAACCTATTTTGGTGTCACCAGCAAAATTGCCTATGTCGCTATTTCCTCATCAATGTCGTTTATATAAATTGTGAACAACAAAGTGCCCAACACTGACCATTAATGTAAACTCTCTGCTGTCTATTTGTCAGCCATGCCTCTACCCAGAAAAAAATTTCTCCACCTATTCCGTGTGCCTTAAGTTTCCTCAATAGCCTCTGGTGTGGAACTCTATCGAAATCCTTAAGATAAGATAAGATAAGATAAGATTTCGTTCGGATTTTTAACCCCGGAGGGTTAGCCACCCAGGATAACCCAAGAAAGTCAGTGCGTCATCGAGGACTGTCTAACTTATTTCCATTGGGGTCCTTAATCTTGTCCCCCAGGATGCGACCCACACCAGTCGACTAACACCCAGGTACCTATTTGCTGCTAGGTGAACAGGACAACAGGTGTAAGGAAACGTGTCAAATGTTTCCACCCGCCGGGAATCGAACCCGGGCCCTCCGTGTGTGAAGCGGGAGCTTTAGCCACCAGACCACCGGGCCACCTCCAGACCACAATATCATATTCATTACCATGATCTACCTCCTCAAACACCTTAGTGAAAAATGTTAGTAAATTCGTAAGACAGGAACGCCCCTTTGTAAAACCGTGATGAGATTCATTAATCAATTTATGCCTTTCAAAATGGCTACGAATTGCTTCGGCAATTATTGATTCCATAAATTTTCCCACTATGGAGGTAAGGCTTATTGGTCTATAGTTCGAAGCCAAGGACCTGTCACCTGTCTTGTAAATAGGTATTACATTTTCCATTTTCCACTTATCAGGCACTATGCCAGTTTGTAGTGATATGTTAAAAAGATTAGCCAAAGGTATACTAAATTCCTCTTTACATTCCTTTAACACCCTTGTAAACAGTTTATCAGGACCTGGGGATTTGTTAGGTTTTAGTTTGTTAGGTAAGACACATATGCAACGGTTAGGTATCTTTATTTTGAAACGTTTCGCCTACACAGTAGGCTTCTTCAGCCGAGTACAGAAAAGTTGATAGAAGCAGAAAATACTTGAAGACGATGTAATCAGTCCATCACCCCTAAAGTTTTGAGGTGGTCAATCCCTCAGTCTGGAGAAGAGCATTGTTCCGAAGTCTGAAACAATATTTCAGCCTTCGGAACAATGCTCTTCTCCAGACTGAGGGACTGACCACCTCAAAACTTTAAGGGTGATGGACTGATTACATCGTCTTCAAGTCTCTTCTGCTTCTATCAACTTTTCAGTACTCGACTGAAGAAGCCTACTGTGTAGGCGAAACGTTTCAAAATAAAGATACCTAACTGTTGCATATGTGTCTTACCTAACAACCTGTCGGTATTTTATACCATTTTAATGCTCAGGTTTTAGTTTCTCTATTTGTCTGAGGACCATGTCACTAGTTACCCAAATCGTGCATAATTTTTTATCGTCCTGTTCTACACAATTTATTATTTATGGAATTTCGCTTGTATCTTCCTGAGTAAAAACTGAAAGGAAATAAGAGTTTAAAATTTCACACATTTCCTTATCACTGTCAATGATCTGACCTGAGTTACTTCTGCGTGGGACAGTCTTGTCCCTAATCTTACTTATATATACCTGAAAGAAATCTTTTGGGTTAGTTTTCGAATCCCTTGCCACTATTAGCCTTACAATCTCTTTTGCTTTTCCTTTTTTAAACTTTTTATTCCCTTGATATTAATGAAATATGATTTAATGGCCATACTTTAGAGTAGTAAATATTGCTTCACATATGATAGATCAAAATAAATTACCCACTTTGGGTCTAATAATTTTTTATGACCAAAATCGAACTTTCAAGTAAATTAACCTTCCAAAAAATTAGCGAAAAAACAAATTTTGTGTAGTGTCACGAAGTTGTGTTTGTTACTCTATTTGTGCTGTAGTTTATGATTTATAAGTTACCAACCTTAAGGTTGAATTTTAAGGGTGTTGTGTCACAGAATAATGAGAAGCCTGCTGTGATTGTCGTTTTGTGCCGGCCCTTGTCCCAGAGCAGACAAATGTGCAGTTAGCTCCTCTTGTCTCAGAACTTTCAGAATTCTAGGACCAGGAAACTCGTAACAATACCTCCTACCACTGAGAAAGAAAGGTACCTTTTTTATACTTGGTTATGATTTACTCCCACTGGGAAATAAACCAGTAATGTTACAGTGTGTTACTAGAGAAGGTCTGTATTATGATGATCCCCGGGAGAAAGCAAGGTACCTGTTACTGTCCCTGATTCTACAAAAACCTGGAGAAACGGCAAGGTACTCGTAACTAGGTACTATCTAATCCCACTGGAGAAGAAACCGCAAGTATACTTGTATACTGGGTAACGATTCTAACTGGGGAACGAAATACTTACTGTGGTGTACTTTGACTCGACTGAGTAACAGTACTTACTGAGACACGTAACAGTTACTATGATGACACTGTAGCAGTATTTACTGTGACACAGTAACATACTTACTGATGAACAGAAGTACTTCGATGACACAGTAACGTTTATGGGGGACACAGTAAGTACTTACTGATGACACAGTACCAGTACTACTGATGACCAGTAACAGTACTTACTGAGGGACACAGTAACAGTACTTACTGATGACACAGTAGCAGTACTTATGTTGACACAGTACAGTACTTACTGATGACACAGTACAGTATTTACTGAGGGACCCAGTACAGTACTTACTGTTTGACACAGTAACAGTATTACTGATGGAACAGTAACAGTACTTACTGATGACACAGTAAGCAGTAACTTACGATGACACAGAAACATTTACTTCCTGATGACACAGTAACAGTACTTATGATGACACAGTAACAGTACTTACTGATGACACAGTAAGCAGTATTACTGATGACACAGTAACAGTATTACTGATGACACAGAAACAGTACTTACTGATGACACAGTAAGTACTATGATGACACAGTACAGTACTTCTGATGACACAGAAAACAGTACTTACTGATGACACAGTACAGTACTTATGATGACACAGTTACAGTACTTATTTGATGACACAGTAAAAAGTACCTTTACTGGATGACCCCAGTAACAGTACTATGATGACAAGTACAGTACTTAGGACCTAAGTACACTGATAACAGTACAGTATTATGATACACAGTAACAGTACTGATGTGACACAAGTAACAGTATTTACTGATGACACTGTAACGGTACTATGATGACACAGTAACAGTTACTTATGACACAGTACACAGTATATGATGACAAGTAACCAGTACTTACTGTGACACAGTAACAGTATTTACTGAT